CTAACACGAAGATGCACATCCGTGTAATGCGTTGATGTCACGAGAATATCGAGATAATGTTATACTACGTCGACACAGAGCGCTCGTCATCCAGAGTCATGCAAAGTAATCCTCTTACGTGAATATATATATATATATATTCCTATATTTTTATATTCTCTCTTGAAGTTTTATTTTAATTCAAAAATTTATTTTTATATATATATACAGATATAAGATCACATCTATTTAACAAAATCTGTCTTTTAATATGTTTGTATCTTTTGATTTGTTAGTCCACTTTTTTCTTTGAATACATTCTCTTGGTTTATCTACCCAATGCTTATAAGATCATACCGAGACTCACATTGGAAAGGATCGAAGAAACTAGAACGAAAATTGGAGGAAAAAAAGATGTGGCCAATTGAGATGGTCGTAAGGTAAAACTGAGGGGGAACAAAATAATGTGAAGAGACGGTCGCCCCAAGAGATAAAAGTCGATCGGAGATTTTGGATGGTACTCTAGTCTGCGACGATGAGTAGAAGAGTTTCTTTTTAGATCAATATAGACTCGACAGGATGTTTGTTCACCGATAGGATATTGACATTATATAGCATATAGAAATAATATATAATCAAACATAAGAAATACATTTTCAGCTATATAATACTATGCTGCTGTTTTATTAAAATATGCTGATATTATTACTAATATTATTTATAATCATTGATTAGCGTAAATATAAGTATCGGGAAGATAAACGAAGAAAAGATATCCAAAGAAAAAAATGGAGAAACTAACAAATCAAAAGATAATTGTCAAAAATATAATTTTCGTTTTATTCTTAACATATGTTATCGTAATAGTCGTTTTAATATTTTAATATTTATTTTGCAATTCTCTAATTGATCTTAAAAGAAAGACATTTTATTTTTCTGTTCTAAGAAATTGAAAAATTGAAGAATATATTCTTACAAATTTGTAATATTTTATTTTATTTTGCAGTTTCTCAGTTACTGTAAAAAAATATTTAAGCGTTAAAAAAATTTAAATATTTGCATATGTATATTTTTTAACATACATAATGGCAGGATTTTATATTATTTCGTATATTTCACTCTGTTCTTAAAATTCCACGAGCGTAAGCAATTCGACCAAATCGGAGATAAAAACGAGATATGGAGATAAGAAACAGGGGTGAAAAAGAGAAATTGTAATCGTTAAACAGCACAATTCTTTTTTTGTAGGGCAAGATATCTCTGTAGTTATAGGTGACATGTGAACAAAATAATGTTTGAGTCATTCAGTGATGTCAAAAGTTTCTTAAGCACTGTCTTACTTCACCTTACTATAACTGCATCTTAAATTAATTTGATATAAGCCCCAAAGGTCACGAGGCATGATACAAAGGTGGCAAATAAGCACGTGTTCCTATCCGCAATACATGCCGCAGAGGACCGCAGTAATTGCTTATCAAATCTTCTGATATATAGGTATTAATAAAGTCTGAGACGCATACGAAAAGTTAGAGACATTCAGTTACATAAATTAGCAAAACTCTGTGTAAACGGATTATTTTTAAAATTGCTGGTATAAACGGATTAATATTCTTTTTAAAATCTTTTTTCAGCACCGTAAAAAACTATCATAATGCATGATTATTTCATCATAGTCTCTCATTAATCTTATTTAAAAAATGATAAAAGCTATTAATAAAATTTATCAATTTTGCATTATAATACATCTTTCTGCAATATAACTTTTACTTCTTACACATTTATACATATCGCTCATGTAAACTTATCTCTCGTGCAGAATTTAATCTTCTTTGTATCAAAAGAATGTGCTTATATCTACTTTTACTTCTTGTATTATCTTCTCAGTATAATCGCAAAATCACGAAAAGACGTATCTATCTCCATTTTTTATTGAGTTATATCTTCTTTGCAATGGCTGAGGGATAAAGGAAAGATCTAGGTAGGATCGTAAAACTTTCGGATATAAATATCAATCTCTTTTTTACATACCTAAAGATATAAGTCTATCTCTGCTTTCAGCGAACCATCAAGCAATAAATTATATTTTTAGGTAAGGGATGCATGACTTTGATACATTTCTTTTCTTCTTGTAGCCTATTTCTTCTTCAAAGATTTCGAAACTCGCAAAACTGCTTGAACTTTATTCTGAACGCGGCGAGCTTATTCTCATTTTGTACTTTTCTCTTTTATTAGTAGTATTGCGAAGATGGCAAGCATACCGAGCACAATTGCTACCGTTTCTATTTAATAATAATGCAAAATTGATTACGGTTTTATCAATTTCGAGTCGATTGCGCTGCTAGCCTTCGATAATTTTCTTATTAACGATGTTGCAAACGGTGCAAAATTTTATTTTGTATAAATGTATTATTGCATCTATATTAAAATTATATAAGCAATTATTTTGAAGAATTTTCACAAAATGTGCAATAAATTTATATTATGCGTTATTATTTTTTTCCATGATATAAGTATTATATTTTATAAGCAAAGTATATTTTATTGTATTTTATTGGTTTATTAGTTATAATGTAAGATAATATATATATTTTTATTACTACATTCTTATACTTATTTTTCTGATAACTTTTTATATTTACATTGCAAAAATAAAATCGTCGGCTATCTACGATTTTTATCTTATCTCAGCAAAACTCTTAAGAATAATGATATTCGTCGTCCCTGCTCTTTATCCCCGTAGATCCTTGATCGTCTTCATTCAGTTGAGAAAGCTCATGTGCATACGAAGCACATAGCTTGAAAGTTCTTCGGTTCAAAGCAATTTCAAAGAACTTCGCTCGACAAGTAGCTTTACGAGCGATCTAGTTGCTATTTTATCACCTTCACTTACATCGAATGGTATAATTTGTGAACTTGAAAGTAGGACTGTAACGATTGTAAAGTGCACAAGTATACGAATATAAATTTTCGAAAATGGTAGTCACGTTAATTGCTGACATGTTGCAATCAGTCGTTAGATAATAGTTAAGATAAAGGGAGAATTGTGGTATATAAGGCGCAACATTTTATATATCTATATAGAATTCTATATATCTCTTAATCTCGAGAAATGAGAAAAAGAAAGACAATCTGAACTTACTGCTACATGAATTTATAGGCAGCCGTTATGAAATCCGTATTAAATCAAGAAAAATGAACTTATTAACTCATAATTTCTCTTTGATTTGACCTCAATTGGTTTAACACAGTAAGTGAGAAAGCTAGTTACAGTAGCTATTTTGTTCAATAAAAGTTGTGAATTGTGTAAAAGAATATAATATATGTAGATAGATAGTGTGTGTGATTTGTTAATATTTAAATGTAATAAAAGAATACATTCCATTATATGTGTCATTTTTGCAAATAAAACTATTTTCTCAAAAGATTTTATTATTTAACTCGTAAAATAGAATTTTATAATTGATATCTTTAAAATAATGTAAATATTTTGCTATATATATTTTTTTAATTTTTTTTTTTGCAAAACTGGAAAAGGATGAGCATTTATACAATTGTATGTTGCCTTTAAAATTGGAATAAGATATTGATTTTATTACAGCCATCAACCATCATATGATACATTGCAAAAATGCAAACTCCATTTTCTCACCGACTCATTTTCAACCTTTCTAACGCAGCACAAACTCAACTAATGCATGTGTCTCTTCTTTGCTTGTTTCAGATACTAACACAACTGAACTCACAACTCACACTAACCAACTACGACTTTTGAGAACAAGCATTATGATCTCGTCCAGGGCTTCATGCCAACGCCCAAAGCCCTGAATGTGAAAAGAGTTTATTGCATCCTGCATAATAAAGAACAGGGGCAAGCCCGCACATTATTCAATGAATAAATTGTTGAGCTACTAAATAAATCGTGGGTTACCAAAGTTTAATCCATGGATATTCTATCGTAGGAATTGATTTTAATGTTATATTTTTAAACGGAATAGACAACGTGCTTGAAGTGTTGGAACGCGTGTCAGGGTGAGCATTTGATAGAATTCTCGGGGATGAGAAAGAAATCTTTTTTTAAGTATATTTATTTAATACAAAATCTTTTAATCATAAAAATCTGATATAAATTAGATGTTATATCCGTATTCAGGATACATACATATATTATACAATATATATATGTGTGTTCTGAATACGGATGCATTTGATCAATCTTGATCACATTATTTTGCTAGAATCCATAGATATTGATTAGGTATATCCTCTGTTCGCAATTGTCAAGTAAGTCAGTTTAACAGTAAGAATAGCTTTCGCATCAAATGGAAGAGCTTTTTTGTGGATAGAAGGATTACGCGTTAAAATTCTCGCGGATGGGTAAAAGTGCAGAAAGGTGCTTCCGTTCAAATTGCGATTCTTGTAAATTGTTGACCATTTGTGACGTGAATTTCGAGGATGCAGGTGTATCCGGCCGGAAAGTACGCTTTTGGAGGCAGCAGACGGAACACGGAAAGCGCGGAAAAAGCAAGAAAATTCGCTGACTGTATTGCGCATCTGTATGCACAGTTTCTATTGAGAAATCGATAACGTCGCCGAGACGAAGTAGATAAAAAATTCGTACAATATATTATTCTGTCAAAAAGATCGCTTCAAGAATTGCATCAAATATTATGTTTATCAAAATTTTAATCATGGTTTACTATTATATTCCGCATATCTCATTAGCGCAATATGCGCGCATACTTTGGAAATAATACACCATATAATCACAAGCATGATACGGTACAGCGCACACACGTAATAACTAAATTACGTTAAATTATAATAATATAATTTGTGTTATATAATGTTACAGCAAAAGTAAAGTTACTCGCGGAAGGGATAAAAACGTATTTGATGCACGCTAAAGAATAATCGTAAAAGACAAGTCGAAAGTGATACCGATTAAATTGGAAAAAAAAATAACGATAAAATTGGAATTGAGAAAGATGCTAGGGTGACGATCCTACAAAATATCTTGCAGAATTTCTCTTGGAAGCCTGCGGCGATTTCGGCGACGTAAACGAGCGGGGTCCTTGTCGAGAGAAAAAGGCTCCGCGAGAAGAAGGCCGCGCAAACGTACCTCTGGGTCCGTCGTGGTGTTGTCCGCCGGGGGTGGCGGTGGCGGTGGGGGAGGAGGAGGTTGTAGACGTCGTGATTTGGAACGTCGGTCAGGTGGCGGTCGGGGTGTTCCCTGTCTTGCCACCATCAGTTCTTCTGTCGCAGGATCCGCGGGGGGTTGCGGCCCCGTGGTGGGGCTCCCTTCCTATAAAAAGCGCCAAGGTATTGCGGTATTCTATCATAATTGAAGGGTGGAAGACCTAGAATACCAAATAGATGCAAAAAATGATACTCCGCGTTGCAATATACAACAAGATTTTAAATTCCATATCAGCATTTATTAACTTAATGTTTTAATACTTTAATACTAGAAATTAAGCTGTATTTTTATATAACGTAGAAAACAATAATTTTATTTTTGTATAATCTGTAATATTATTTGTGGCTCTTAATTAATATCTGATTTCCATAATTAATTAAATAGTAATATTTTATTATTTAGGTGATAATAATAAATTAGATTGAAAATTAGAAAAGATTGCAATAACACCAATATTAAATAATTTAAAAGATTATTACTAAAATTAATCGTGATATATTTTGTGTACTCTCACACAGATGTTATATAGATATATGAATAATTTATACAGCTTTTATATCAGGTTTATTTTTTAAGAATTCAGAAGTCTCTCTTCAATTTTCTGTTTAATTATCCGCGCTTGAATATGACGCATACTTGCGTTTTATATTTAAAGCTAACGGCACCCTTGAGAACGCTTACATATTATATTGCAACGATCTCAACCTCTTCGTCATTTCATATCCCATAAACTTCTGCGAAAGTCGTAACTCGATTAAGAATTGAACTATTCCAATTATGCGTGTTAATTCTTGTTTTTTTTTTAAATAATTTAATCGTGTATAAGATACTTAAAATTTTAATTGCAACAAAATACAATAAAATATTTCAAATCGCAAGCATAAATTGGAGCAAATATTATCTACAAAGCTAACGTCTCATTTTAAGATTATTCTATCAATCAAAAAATTTCTCGTTTATATAAAAATACCCACGGCCTGCTCAATCTAACAATAAACATCGAGATCTGATCACGTTGTAAACTCTCGAAGGCAGTGGCGCTGTCTGGGGCCGCGGCAGCCGTGGACGCGGCAGAGAACGCGGGGGCGGCGCGAACTTTTTCGGTTCCGGCGTCGCCCCCGCAAATTACGCACCAGGACTGCAGGATGTTGCGCCTGAGCTGCGAGAAGTCGTGAACATCCTCGGCGAGAGAAACCAGATTGGCACTCTAACAGGCGTGGGCCCGCCACCGGGAACGCTGGACAACGACAGCACGTGCGACGATGAGGAGGGAACTTCTACCAAGAGACCGCCGAGGCCTCTTTACAGGAGATTCATTAACTACGTGAGGCAAGCCTGGACCGGCGTCAAATTTGCTCTAGGTATATTCACAGATTTATCGATGTAAAATTGATTATTGTCGCAAAAGATAAATTTGTTGTTGGATATTTTTATAGATAGTACGTAATTCAGACTGCAATATTCTAGAAAACACATATGAGTAATATAATTGCATTTTTTCAATCCATCGGATTAAACGCTTTTTTAAAAAATAAAATTAAAAGAGATAAAAGAAAGAAAAAGAGAGATAAAAAAAAAGAGAATTGTATGCTTAATATATCTCGTATTATTTGTATCTCCTTTCTGAATAAAACTGAGATAATGTAACATGCCATAATATAAAATAAAACAATAGTGAGTTTATTAAATGGCCATTAAAAACCAAACTCTTTAGATCTATATAAGTAATAACGTCTCATATAGAAATCAGTAAAACGCTATATTCAGTTATGGTAAACATATAAAATTAGTTACATATACATATCTATATACACATATACGCTATGTCATAAGAGAAGCAACTTTTCTCTTTTCTGATGTATTCAAGAACCGAGAAATCATGTGGGAATAACATTTTACGTTTTATCAAACTAGGATATTCGATGAACTAACGTCACTATATTTTATACCGCGTTTTCTATTGGCTAACCAGTAAAGAGCGTACTTGTTCACAGAACGTGAAGGTCTCCAGAGTTTTCCTGCCCGATACTGCATGCTACTCACGTGTCTTACCGGTCATCTATGTTGCATGATACCTGCACCAACATAACAACGCTTGCTTGCTCTCTGCGTGCGAAGCTCATTACACCATATCTTTTTTTCGATCGATCTCATAGATTGATAAGAGCACTCGACGGATCTGTACTGACTTGTTTATCAACGTCTCTTATCGGTAAAACTAAAAATATTTTTTGTAAGCTTTAATGATATTATAATAATATTATAATTTTCAAATATTGTTTATGTATTTAAATGTGTGATTTTTCTATATAAATAAATAAGTCTTTTTCAGCAAATTGTAATCTATCTTTAATATATAATAATCAGTGAATTATTCTATTAATACTTCGAAAATAAGATGCATATCAATTGCGATGTATAATGCATCAGAACTTTATTCAACACATATAGAAATGTTACACCTAATTGCTTATTATGCACATAAAGTATTATAGGATCTTGTAACGTATATGAGGATGTGCATATATTATGTCAAACTCATTGCAAAATTTAAATTGTAAAATATATATAAGAATGAAAGAAGAAAATAAAAGAAGAATTAACGGCAAAGATTTTTTGATTTGAAGAGCAGCTTTAGTTTTTGTGCATCAATTGGTACATTAGTTTGAGTGTTGAAAGCTGTTAGTAATTCGAGAGCGAAATACTTTTTAAAGACAGAGCGAGACGAAAAAATTATTAATTGAGTTCCGTTAAATCATCGAATATTTATAATTATATTTCCATATACAAGAATAGTTTTATAATTAGCTTATGCTATTGTCTTACGTATTCTATGGTCACCAAAAATGTTCTTTCATCACGCAATACTCCGGAGACCTACGGAATACCCACGCAGCCTATCTTGGGGATTCGAGGTCGCCAACTTCATGAAAATTCATACAGTCCAGGTGCGGTTTCATCCGCAAATTACATTTTCACAAACAAATTTATGAGAGGAATATCTGGAACCAACGTTGTCATCCGACATATCAGTGCAAAGGACGGTGAAATACCGTTGGTTAGCGCTTGCATTTGTATTGCTGTTTGTTCTCAACCATGATTTTATTAAACGGCACATTTATCCGAATAGTATTGCAGCAAAATCAACATACATAAATTAAATAAATGATAATTTTTAATTTAATTTATTTTAATTATAAGGCAATTTTACTCCTTATATTAACACTCTTCTTATTCATACTATAATATTTAATTAATTTTTTTAAAAGAAGGTCTCCACGTTTATTTCATAATTTTTAACCTTTGATTTAATAATATTTAAATGCAAAGGTAGTTCTTATATATACATTTGCATATAACAAGATACATATATATATATATATATATATATAATATAATGTGTTATTTTATAACAAATGTAAGTATAATATACATGCCACGTTGAACACGCAGATTTCGTTCAATCACTATCGCGTTTGAATGAAATTAAATAAAATATTTTGCACCGAATAGCCGAACGATAGAATATATGATGAAAATTGGTTAAATGGTTATGACAACGTTCGTTGTCCCTTGATGAATATTGTGAGAATTCATTACTTGAAAAAAAATTTTAGCATATATGCAATATTATGCAGTGTTAATTATGCAGTATTAATTAATCACATGAGAAGCTGCTCTCTTTTCCTGTTATTAAAAATTCTATTAATATGTTTTGACAAATATGTATGCCGATAGAAATAAATTATCTTAATATGCAAAAATTATATTAAACAGAAAATAGTGATATGAATTACAAGAAAAAAGATATAAAAACAAAGTTTTCGCACATCTAGAATAACGAATTTTTCCATTATCTAATTTATATCAATTTATTACAAGTATACATGAATTATAAAAGCGTATATGAAAATTTAATAGAATTTCTGTTTTACGTAATCAGATTTTCTTCTCGACGCGACTAGTTTAAAAAAGATAAGATTTTATGCGGTACGTTGCATAAATTAATCTGATTATGCAAAATCCCATCTCGTTCTTTCTGAAACGCCCGAATATCGGAATAATCTACGATAATTCATTTTTTCATAAAAGTCAACATGTAAAAATAAAGTAGAATGACCCACTAAATGCTCCGTTGAATTTTTCGCAATGCTTTATCACTGATTACAAGGAATATAAACAAAAAAAAGATTCTTTTATATGATTTGCCCTATATTTTATGTCGCAATCCATCTTTAAAACATCCAGCAATTTTGCTGAATTTTGATAAATCATTACGCGATTTATAAAAGTGTCTATCAATATCCGAAATTATTTATAAGCCAAATATTTTCTCATCCAATTTACAAGCGTATAATAGATTCCTGTGGGATCACTGATGTCGATTCCGTTGAACGCATCGACGGAAACTCCAATAATCTGGCCTTTCATTAGGAAACAGACAGCGAGTACACGTTGCTTGTCCGACGGCAACTGATGCATTCCGTGAGGAATGCCTTTCATCCCTTACACAAATCCAATATTTCGAAAGAGGAGGTAGTAGCGACCCTCTGCGATTCTGTCTTTATCTCTCCTAGAATATCATCTGGAATGAGACGTAGGGTTGAACGGATGTTGCCTCGCCGTTGACCCTATTTACGCTTGGTCAAACCGATCCTTCATGTAGGAAGTATATGACACGAAAGAGCAGACAGAGTACGGAAGCAATCTTGGCAGTTAGATTAAATTTGGAGATTTTTTTCTTTCTCAGTACGCTGTATTTAGAGAAGGTAGCGTAGATGTATAATATAAAATTCTATGAAACGATATTGTTAATCATAAAGGAGGGGAAAAATTTTAAGAGATAATTAAATTTCTTTAATACTATTGTTATATAATTTTATGCCATACGTTATGTGATAATCTTTATGGCTAATAATTATGAGACAAGATAAGCAGTAACAGTATAAATCATGATGATTGAGTCTATAAATTTGTTTCAATTGATAAAATACTTGCTGTCTCTCAAAGATAATGTTTCAATGGAAATTCGCAAAATTTTCTACAATAATGCAAGCATACTGTTTATATTTGAGAGTAGGCTGTCATAAACACTGTAAATTGAACACCACAGATGTTCTCTCTCCGAATATTTGCTATCGTTCATCGTGCGAGAAATCGTTTGACGCTGTGAATTTTCTCACCGTATATCTCGTTATTATCTTTTACTTCCCGTATCACATTTGTCTGCAGATTGAATCTGTAGGAATTCAGTGCTGTCGGAACAAGACGATTCGATTTAAATTCCAACACTGGATTGCTCTCTCACCTTCCAATCTCCGCAACTTTTCCTGTGGAAAACATAACGTATGTTCCATATATATACACGTGGCAGCAGTGCAAAAGTGTCTCGAATTTCCGTCCTGAATCCAAATCTTCCATACTGCATGTGAGTAGGATATCGTATGCACGGATACGTATTCCGATTTCCATTGCGTACTCCTGTGCGCGACGTTGTTTCACGATGTGAAAGGGATTTCTTACAAAATCGCTTCATCGAGATCGTTTATGTCAAAAGAAATAATGAAAAATCGTTCACGATCTTAAATAAGATAACACAAAACATTTTTATCGTATATATAACTCTAACAATGTATATTTCTCTTCTAACAATAATATTATAAAGAATATTATATTTATTCTTTTTATATTTCTTTGAATTTGATATATATGTATGTTTTGACAATTATTTTTTAAAAATATTTAAAAAATTTTTTACTCCCATATCACTTCTAATAGACACTAACAATAAATATTTAGAAAATATTGAAAATGTATGCGCTATTATCATCGTTGTGGGCAATAAATAAAATTTTACTACAATACATCCTGAAATTTGCCTTAGAGAACGAAGTTATTCATCTGATATTGTTTTGAAATTGCAATACCTTGTTCTCGCGGGCGCAATCATAAAGTTGAAGTAAATACTGTTAATCCCCAATGGGGACATACATACATACACACACACACACACACACACACACATCTAATGAGTTCTTACATTTACTTACATATATAACATTTGTTTGAAAGTTGTGTACGTTTCTCCGAAATTATGTTTTTTTAATATAACCGAAATATAAACTATAACTTTGAAACTCTTACAAAGTACATTTTTAGGAATTTCTTTTAAACCAGAAGTAAGCTAATAGAAGGAATGTGTGCAATCAAATATTAGAATCTGAAAATAAATCACAAGATTTGAAACTTCCGTTTTGTACGACGGGAACATACAGTTGCAATAATATGCGAGAATTTTTAATCTTGCATTTCAATCTCAGATTTTCACCCGTGATTGCTATGTATCGTTAAATCCGGGTTTTATAAACTTGTATCGATTTATGTATTGCATATCGAAAAAAAAATTAAAAGCAAAATAGCAGCAGGAAAACGATGCCAAGTTCTATCGATTCTAGTAGAGCAATAATTAATTAAATATTAAATGTCTGAAAAAGATAGATTATTTTCCAAATTTATATTAATGTAAGTTTCATGTATTCAGTGTTCTTATAATATTGAATAAATAGAAATCAAAATTATGGAATACAAAAATCTACAATTTATATTGTATGTTGAACTTTATTTCTTTATATTAATTTTCATATTTATGTATGTCTGTATATATGTGTTTATATGAAATATAGGCACTAACAGCGTCTATAAAAAACTTCAAAAAAATCTTAAAAATTTTCTTCTGCATGTATGAAATGTGCGGCTTTAGGTAAAAATAACTGCATATGTGAAAAAGTTAACTTTTTTCTCTTTTTTTGATATGTTACCAGATTAATATGTGTCATTGTTCAATAGTTCTATTTATATAATGTGTTTTGCAAGACAGTATAGATTTTTTTGTCGTTTAACTGCAAATTTTTTTATTTATTTTATAGATATCACATCGATAGTTGTGCTGCTCATATACATCCTATACAATCTCGGTAAAACATTCCGAGTTTTCCGGCTTTCCGTTTCAGCAAAGTTCTTTAATCTTGTTAGAGATTTTAGTCGGTTCGACGAATTTACGACACACGAAAGAAATTTGTCGATTTCTATTCCGCAATTAACGGAAATACGTTGTGTTTTTATGTCACAGACTCAGAATACGAGGAAGAGCAAATACCAAGATACAGGCCAGACTCTTTGGCAAGCCTTTGTCGAGCGACCAGATTCACTGAAGCCGAGCTGAAGAGAATATATCGCGGTTTCAAGGCTGAATGTCCTACGGGAGTCGTCAAAGAGGATACTTTCAAGTGCATCTATTCAAAATTTTTTCCCCAAGGAGGTGAGACCAGATTTTAAATACAGTAATATTCTTACAATATGTCATATTAAATGACATATTGTGAAAAATGGTAAATGGATCCTAAATATTAAAGTTATTAAATCATTGTATTATATATAATATATTATATAGCATATATATATTTAAAAAGATGTATATTTATGCATACATACATATATATAGAATAAATCTTTTTTTTAAATTTAATATTTAATTTTGTTAATACTAATCTCTCGTAAATCTCTGAAATAAAATAATGTATAACAAAACGAAATAATATTTAGGAGTAATCTTTATTTGAACTTGTCAAGTAATATGAAAGTTTGTTGTTTCGTGGTGAGATCAAAATAGTATCGAATAAAAAACATAATTTCTTATTCTTCTATATAATAAAAAATACTATTTAAAAAAATTATCGCATATGTTTTACTATTTAAAATCACGAAAAAAATACCAAATTTATTGTTTTTAGATCTTTTATATAATATGTGTGTGTATGTGTGTGTGAATATAATATGTCTTGGGTTAGCCGAGTAAAATTATTTTTTCCCATAAAGAATGCGAATATATTATACCGCGAAATAGTGACGTCATACGAGAAGAATATTTTACGATGTAGTTAAATATTTAAATAGAAAGCTCCTGTAATTTCCTGATTATTTTAAATAAAAAAAATAAATTTGCAAAATAATAAATTGCCCGAAAATCAATTATTATTATTTTATTATAATTATCTTAATATAAAATAAAACTGCAAAGAAGGGTATATCTTTACTTCTAATTTTATTTCTGCTGCATATTTCAACAATAGAATCTTTAATTAACAACAATAACACATTCCAAATTGTCCTCTTTTTTTTCTAAATACACGTTTTTCAATAAACAATCGTTTTTTAACACACAATGCGAAAGAATTCTGTGAAAACCAAAAAAATGTTTATTTTGCAAAAGGAACGACGGTGGATATATCGTCCGGTTTATTTATTCGCCGCGCATTTATTCGCATTTAAATTTCCTCGTTTCAACGGCAGCATCGGGGATGCATCGAAGAGCATCAACATGAAGAAGGAAAGAGAATAATCCAACAACCAGAATAACTATGGCTCTTCTCGCTGAACGGTTGCAGTAGCCATGGTAACGAACTCCCCAGATCAAAATGATACTGCGTTTCAAACGCATTCGCTTTTATCCATTCACGTGAGAGATATGGTTATCCATGACTATGCGCGTGCTCCGCGCATTAACGCGATGAAATTCACGTTCTCGGAAATTACGTTCTTCGCACCACGTTTTAACTAAAATCAATTAACTTCGCGCGCGTGCTACGATTTATGAGGATGTCAAGTAGTTTATCACTAAATATTTATTACAGATTCCTTCACGAAATTAGAAAATTGTTTGTTAGCATCTTATTTAATTAAAGCAATTTATTATTACATGACAATTTAGATTTTTAACTTTTAATTTCTATTAATAAAAAAAGTTTTAAGTAATAACTGGTAAAAAAATCATTCAGTAATATAAATTAAGATCTTAAAATTCGTAAAAATTCGTAGAATTAAACGAATAAAGCGAAAAAATCCATTTTCAAAATTTATCGTATTTTTATATTATAGATTTTTTTTAACATAGCCAAATATTTGCATTAATAATGCGCCAAGATACAAAAAGGACAGCAGATGATCTTTTCGAGTATTCACAAACCCAAAGTATCGGTGAAATATTTAATGCTTCCTGCCGACAGATTTCTCGCCGGAAGTCTCATATCCGCAGCCACAATATCTAGTTGAGATCATGATTTGTTTGTCGTAAAAGGCGTATCAATCGCAATCAAACCCAAAATCCTAGAAAAAAAATCTCCTGCACCGAATAGACAATAGTCCAGGAATACATCCATCTTCAATATCTACTATTTCACGATTTACGGCGATTTATGTTCCTCTTTTCTGAGAAGCGTGTGTATCGTCTTTCTTTTTGTGCCGACAAGGAGATAAATATAGCATTAGTCAGCCAAAGCATTCCCAAGAGAATGTACGAAATATCGAAAATATATTAAATGAGAAGTTAAAGCTTTTCCGTAATGCTGAATGTTTTGTAGAAAAAAATAGTATTTATGCAAATAGGCTGTGTAAATTATTAAGATTACATAAAAAAATTGAATTAATATAAAAAATTAAAATAAAAAAACTAATTATGAATACTTTATATACTGCAATTTTTGCTTTGCAGAAGAGAAACGGAATATTCAATCTTAAATTGCAGAGAAAAAGAGTTTAATAGAGATTCATTTACTGCGCATTGTGTTAATTAAGTACAAATCGAACGGTTGGGCAAGCAAGGACAATACAAAACAGCACACACATGGCAATTAAATTAAAAGTTTTAATTAGAGAGTCTTATTCGGATTGGATATGAATGCGTATGTGTGTATATGTGTATAAGCGTATTATTTTGGACAATTTGTCTATGAAGATTTTACAACTCGTATTCTTTTTTGTTTAGAATTTAAAAAATCAAAGTAATTCTATATTATATTGCATATATAAGATTTATGAACAAATGTTCCAATATCAGATCGGTCTCATATTATAAAGATTATAGTGCATATTTATTTTAACATCACATATTAAACTATAGATATATTAACATATTACTATAAGTAGTTTTTTAAGTTGTATAATATTTGAAGATAGTATGTATAACTTTTCTATTATGTTATATAATATTATACATAAATAGTATTATATATAATATATTACAAGACAATGTAAACTAACCAGGAGTTCAAAAATATTCTTCAACCAAATCATGATAAAATTGTCCTCCAAAATAAATAAAAGCAGAAACTTGCAAAAGTCAGATTAAAATATGGAAACATGTTTCAATATATCTTCAGTATATTTAATATCTGTGCTATATATTTTTATAATTTGTAACAAACAATTTAAAATAATGGTAGATCTTAAAAGTTTTAGTATTTTTAATGATAATTCTTTTATCTTAAAAATAATAAAAATTTTAGTAGAATTTTAGTAGAAATTTTAATAGAAATATTTTTGCTATTTGTATATTTAATGCTCATTTGTATGCATATGATTAGAAAGAAATAATTGAAAAAACACGAAAATTGTCACAATAAATATTCAATAGAACCTTTCTTAGCAATCGTATCTTTTATCAGGAATAAAATAGACATTTATACTTATCTAAAATCCCTCTGGCAAAACCCAAGAGAATAGAAACCTGCATGTGCAATTCAACACGTGAAATTTATACTTCTGATAGCAAATACGGGGTCGACACAATAAAGGGACATTACAGAGATCTCGAGTCAAAAGTCGAATATGTAAAATATGACATCGCGATAAATCTCATTCTCCCAAGATAACAATTCACGATTCGTATTCGTTAGTTTATACAGAGACAGAGCAATTCGCCTGCTTTCGTTCTCTCCCAAGATATGAGAGAGAAAATTTCTTATCTATTTCAGATTTACATGTGTGTAACTATGTACGCATTCTGAAATATGAATGATGAATGAACTTATTTATATATATACGAAAAAATATTTGCAATATTGAAAATTGATTTAACATATAAAATTTGCTATTTCTTTTTTGGAAACTATATTTTATATAAGCAAGAATTATAAAACTTAGATTGTATAATATTTATTATTTGTGTACAATCAATTGTAAACAATACTACATCAGTTGCAACAAAAGATATAATTTTTACAATTTTAAAAGTAATATAGTTTTGTTACACATATTTGACATCTTGTATCTTTTTTTTTTTTGCTTTTATGTTCAAAATTTAAAATATTTTCTCGGTAAGATATCCGGAGAATATCTAAAGTGTCTTGTATATATCGGTCATAAAAATATGTGAATTCTCACCTAGAGATTGTAACTTCGCAATTCTCCAAGGACGATGTGATAGAACACGATTGTGCGGATTATCACTGTGACTTAGTAATGCAACGGGAAATCTTACCCAGTTTCTCAATTATAAAGGAATATATGCAAAGTCACATTTATATAACTAAAAAAAATTGAAAAAAGAATCAAATACATATGTAAGATAAATAGAGAAAGAGAAAAAGAGATATTTCTATGTACGTAATTCATTGCCGAAATGTGTATCTTTTATATAGATTTCAAAGTATAGATATACGCACACATATTGATACTTACTTCTAATATACTTTACTAGTTAGACATCTCCAAGTAAAGAAAACTAATTTTCGAATTCCGTATTGTTCCACAATTGAACACGTTTTCCACGAAGACGCAATTCGCAGACGCTAGCAAACTTTGACGAGTTAATACACTTTATATCCTAGTCTTTCACGATAAACTCATCGTACAGTATGTCTGAAGTATAATAGGAACTGTTACAAATTTTCAAGTGGCTCTCTTCGATAACTTTAGATTCAAATTCTCAAACAAAAAGCAGAAATTTGACGTTTTTCATTATGCTATTCGAGAATGTATTTCTATCATAAGATAGCTTTTTTACATTATTGTTCACGTAGTAATGCATATTGCCAATGCCACTTTATATTTTATCGTGACGATTGTTAATTATAACAAGAAAATATTTTCTTGACGAACAAAAGCAATTGTAATTTGTTATGCTCTTTTTAAGATTAGAAAATTGTTATAATATCTAATATCGTGTATAATAATAAATCTTTTTATAAATTGAACATTGATCGACTCGATAATTTTTACTATTGTAGTTAAAGTTTTAATATTCAATATGATATTGTGTACATAAGACAATAGTTATATGAAACAACAAATTTAGATTTGTAAATCCGCAAATAAGCCATTTCTCGAAAATTACTGCGTGTGTATTTCACGTAGGGTAGTGACGGCAATATATTGCTGCGTTAAAAAGTAGTATATATCTTGTCCAATTCTTTCGTAAAACCTTTACATGATAAATCTTACCGGGGAACAGTGAAAGGTGCAACCGGCGCAACATGAATATATATGGCGTGATAATTTCTGGCCTATATAAATCTTCGCTTTAGATTTGAAGCATTCGCGTTATCTCGACTGGAAGTTATTAACACACACCGATGGGTATCCAGTTTACGAGCCATCCACCACAGATTCGACGGCCTTTGTAGGTTTTCGTTCAAATTCATTGCGTGTATATCTATTAGCAAATTGGAGTGTTTTTATGACAATACGCTTCTCTGCTTTCCAACAAAGTTAATGCCAAATGTATTCTAGTTTCAAAGAACTCAAACAAAGTCAAATAAAAGAGATTAAATATTGCTCATTAATTATCTCTGGTGCAAGTTTTCATAAAATATTTCTTTTTCTACATCAAATTCTATTTAAATCGTTTCTATTTTTAATTTGCTACGACCTTGCATATTAAAAATATAATTTATAACTTGTATTAAAAAGAAATTTTAGTTAATGCTAGTAATAATCCGTAAAATATATACTTTTGTGTAGAATCTTATTTAAATAATCTGAACATAGCTATAGTATCAGTAAAAACTTTTTAAATATTTTACCAATTTTTCTACACAAGGATTAATATATAGAGATATTTAATATAATTTCAATTTTAATGAAAATAAAGAAAAATGAACATATAAAATTATATAATAAAATATGTAAACATATATAAAGAAATAATAAAAATATATATTTGCTTCTTTTTTTGTGTAGCCAATACAAGCCAGTATGCGCATTACGTTTTTAATACTTTGGACCAGGATCACAGCGGGCTTCTCAGCTTTGAGGTAAGTTTATATATAAAAAATCCATTATATATATATATATAACATTTAATAATTTTTTTAACTATATTTAATGAGATTATTGTATGGCATTGTACTGTACATAATGGCTTTTATACGATCTTGTATGTCTCATGATTTTGAAGCACAAAGCGATGTTTAATCCTCTTTTCTGCATAATTTGCCTTTTTCTTTATCTTTTGAGATCGTCTGTGTTTAGCATTTTACTTTGAAAGTTGTTGGCATGCATAAAATCACTATCACAATTTTGCCTTCTATATTTAACTCTTCAGGTCAATTTAATGCAGATTAATATTACATAAGTGTACGAAACACAAGCTAATATATTGCAATATACATTTTGTAAAATGTTTGCTATATAAATTGCAAAATAATATGATTTGCGATTTCACAGACATTAATTCTTTTTAAGATTTGCGTGATTAAAATATAATTTAAACATATTTATTACATAAAATGTGCGCATTCCAAACCATTTATTTTATCTATTTATTTTGTCTATAAATATTTTATGTTTAATATTACTGATATACAAAAAATAATTTTTTATTATTAATATTTCTAATATTTATGTATATAGATTGTAATTTTTAATAATTGAGAAATGTAGAAAAGTAAAGAAAAATATCTTGCCCAATATTTTATTTTGCACTTAAAACGTAATATTAATTGCATATAGAAAGTGGCTAAATTACTCACGGTAACAGTTTAATCGCATTTTTCACTTACGGAGTCAATACTAATTAGCGCACTAAATATGTAATTAAATAAAGCGACTGAAATTTAACAATATAATTAACGTCTAACTCTATTATCGAATACTACAAAGTTCAAATTGCCACACAAGTACAGAAAGCGTTAAATATTCCAATTAATATTTTATATAATTTTGGAGTTTAAGTAGTTATGTATAAGTAGTTAAGTATTATGTACACATACATATGTGTATACATAAATATATCCATATATACATATATATGTGTGTGTAAATTTATCTGCATTATTAAATATTTCTGTTTAATATCTTTTCAATAAAATATAAAATTCTATTATCGGAATTATTATCGTTATTCCCATATAATTAAAAGTCGCGCGTCATATCCTAAGCAAACATGTGCATTGGGGACTAAGCTAATTAAATGTAATATGAACATTCAACATCGTGCACTTAATTAAGTTTACTGAGTGACACTTCAATCATTTGCCACTACTCGATTCAAGTGTCAAAGTCAATTTGCAGGTGAACACGATACCGATCTGTCGAAAGTATCAAGGTTCTGAAGAGTAATAAAATTGGAGGAAGAGGCAGAAGTCATAGTAAAGTAATTATCAGACAATGCAGTTGTCTTTCGATCCACTGAAGTGGAATTGTGCTTTGCATAATTAGCATTGTTTGTGCCTCGCAAAAAATTATTAGATTTAATGCAAATTTTTCTTGTGCACATGATAATGTTAACTTGTGATATATATTATAATCTGCAATATAATTTAATTAAGCTATGCTTTAATTAAATTATTCTACTAGAGAATTTCTCTGTCGGTGGGCATTTCCCATTGAGCGATACGTGACAAACTTTTGATTTAGTTTTTATTAATATCGTAAAGTTATATATACATATAATCTTAACGAAAGCTGAAGAGCTGAATTATTATTACACGTGTTTTAATTTTGGATTAATTTTCACATAGACAAGATGATTATAATAGAATATAACATTATTCTCCCAAACATATCATATAAAAAATTTTGTATCCAGATAATATCGCAAATATGTATATATAATATATTTATTAGAGAATCTTAAAATAAGTTTTGTAAAAAAGGCTGAAAAAAAATATTTTTATTGATATTTTTTTTAGTATTTAACAAACACGAAGGGTTTGCTAAGTCCGAAGTTTTTCGATTTAAAGAATGACAGTTTTCTCTTATTTCCACGTTATGATATATACGCATCATTCTCTATTATTCTCTTGTAAGTTTTATTCGTGATACTACTGATATACGAGAAGGTTTCTATCCTTTCTTCAATCGCATTACACGTTCGCTTTAAGATCTGCAAAAGAAAGAAAGAAAGAATGTGCGCGGACAAAGATTACCATTCCTCTTTTCAAGATAATACTTTCCTCGAGTGCACTCGCTCTCAACGCATGGCCCAACAGGACTCCTCCATCTTCGAGGTTTCTTCGGGGCTTCCCTTTATTTTTCTTCTCTCTTTATCGCTTCTTTTAGGTGACGACGAAGAATCCGGTAATCATGAGATTTAATCGCATGATCGTTGAAAAATGCGAGTGCAGCATTTTTATCTTTACGTCTTATTGTAAGATGTAAAAATTTATTTCTTCAAATTTGTCAGTCCCGCTGAAATTGTCAATGTTTTTTTCCAAATTTTAAATATAATTTTAACGATATTGTTACACTTATTAGCATCCATGTCATCAGTGTTTTATCTTATTATATGTATATTATATATTTGCTTTCGAAATCTGTATAAATAGTAATTAGATATAAATGCTCCTTTTCTCCAGAATTCTGGATGTGATATTTTTAAGATAATAAACGCGCGATATAGTAAACTAACAGCAGTTGTTATGAACCGGCGCGAAAAAAATGGTACATCTACTTCCTACAAGCTTGAATATTTCACATTGTTATAGTGAGTACAGTTGCTCACTATGAAACTTCTTGCTTTCGCAGCAAACTGTCGCACAACTGGAGATTCTCCAGTTTTTTCCAGGATACATGTTTCAATCGTTTGTGTAACCAACATATGTAACAAGTTGAAATCATAAACTGCAGCGACGACTAAAATTGTTTAGTTACAACGTTGCATATAACATAGTAAAAAGAAGCGTTGCATTGTTAGAAATTTATATTATAAAAAAATGCGTACATTGTGTGTGTGTAGGGTATACATATACAATATACATGTGGCAAAATCTGCCTCAAGCGGAGCAGATGACAAAACGAGCATCACTGGAACTTTTAATTAACTGTGATATCGTTTCTCGCGAAGCCTTCTCTCTCTCTCTCTCTCTCTCTCTCTCTCCGGCTTCCTCTCTCTCTCTCTCTCTTCGAGAAGCAATAATACAATTACAAACTATTGAACCAGTTCCAGTAATTTACTATTTGGATTATCGCAGATTTGCATATCCGTCGATATCGATACGCTATCGAGAGCGCGTCCGTTACTGAATTTTTGACCAGATTTATACGCGCATTACGTAAGCACAATAGTAAACCGCACGATAAATATAGAAGAGAGTAAGTTAATGAGAGTAAATTAATAACACACTTTAACAAAAAAGAAAATCGCACTGAAGCAAGTCACTTCCTGCAGTTTTGTTGACGTTAAATACACAATTTAAAAAAATTTGTAGTCAAAGTGCAAAACAGAAAACTATTTTAATGTATTTTATTATATATCATAGCTAAATACGATATGGAATGTTGGAAAATTCTATTGTAATCAAAATTAAGTATGTTCCTAGGACCTTAAAAGGAATAAGATTTCATAGTAAAATATGGGATCTATTGCGAAATAGATGCGAATAAGATCAATGAGGATCTATTAATTAGTTTTCAATTTTGTTTATTCAAACTTAAAGGCTTAATATAATATAACTTGTCGATTTTTAGATTCGTATTTAGCAACCTAAAAAACTCTTTAGTTTGAATAAACATAATTGAAAACTATTTGATAGATTTAATTCGCAATTTTTCCGCAATAGATTCCATATTTAACCA